TTCAAGGAATTTTCAACGTGAAAATCATCACTCGGATTGACTGGACAAGTTCAGTGTAAATGTGAAGTGACCTGGACGTGCTTTGTGTTGCAACCAAGGATTTCGGAGGATTCCTGAAAGGTTTTTAGATTTTTAGAACAATTTATTCTGCGGGAATATTTTTTCCAATCTTTTATTTAATTTGGCGACGCCGGAAGGGGTGATTAGGCCATCAGGAATTTTCTCGAAAAAATTCCCATGAGTCTTTTGCTGTGAAACATTTATTCAAGTAATTACGAATAAATTCGTGATACATGCTCTTCATTTACTCCAACTGCTCGATAATAACGAAAAAACAATGGTATTCTTTAATTTCCGAGTTACCCAATGATGTGCACCGAGTGCTACACAAACATCAATTTTCAATAACGTTGTAAACCATCTTGGATATTTACGAACGATAACTTTAGGCGGTTTTTTTAATAAATTTTGCAGGCACGGATATCTATACACAAAATTATCACCATCGTCCAGTGGAATGAGGTGATTATTCAATAAATATCTCCGTCAGTTGATAAGAAAAAAATGAATGGAAGCTCCACTTTCGGTCATTTTTTTATAATTATTTATAATTAGAAATATAAAATTGTCAGGACTTTTATATCACCTCCTCATTCCACTCGACGACGATTTACTTAACGGTATACAATGAAAATTTGATTATGCTCTTCAACTTTGACTCATCATTTTCTTATACTGCGTACAAAGATTATTAGACGTTCATAACAGATACAAAAAATAGTTCTAGAAATATAGCATTTAATTCTGAATTCATCGGGTGCACCTGCACTCGAGCAGCACTCGTGCAGAAAATTTTCAATGAAAAATTAATTTCTGGATAATTTTTCTCACGAGTGCAATCCGGAAAATTTCTAACCGATCAATTTCATTACATCAATGTAAGAATTTCACTCCTCTCTTTGGGTAAAACGTAAAAAAAATATATACGCGGATATTCCAATGGATTCGTATCACTCAACTCGTATCGACATATAATATAATCTCTGTGTTGCACTTATCGTTTTTCACTTCATCATTACTAGGCGTTGAAAAAACATCAACATAAAATCACAATGATATTTCTTTATAATCAGTATTATTCAACAACAAATTAAAAATAATAATAAACAAATAAGAAAAAAAAACATAATTCAGGAGTTAAGTAGAATAACAAGATGACTGGGTAGTTCAGAGAAGAGGGATTACGAGTGAAAATTAATGGATATTATCGCGATAATTGTTTAATTCCGGAGGTATTGATTAATTCGAAATGACGGGAGAGAATTATTCTTGATGATATTCAGTTATCTCATCTTCCTATTCCACTCAATCACAAAATTCATCGTAAAAACAATGTCAAACACGTAATAATGATTCATTCAATATTTTAGTAATGAAATCAAGTCAATAATTATACCAATAATTCATACAATCTTAAGGTACTTGTTAGCGTTATAATTAACCACTCACAATTATTATTTCTCGTCGTTATGACACAGTAACTGCCTGTTCCTCTAGAATTTATCAACAAAAATTTAACACTTCATTTAAAACTCAACATCAATCAGAAGATTGTACTCCAGTTGTGAATTCTCCCCAGAAAATATTCTCACTAAAATTTCGCATCCGCTCTGAACTAAAATTGACTCAAATCCTGATAAATCAGTTGTGAGGAACATTTATCCACCAAAGGCACCTGACAAGTCGATTAAATCCGATCAACCACTAAATTATCATAGCTCACTTAATAAAAAAAAATGATGATAAGAATTTGTCGCGCTATTTTCAGTAACTCGCGCCCGTCTTGACTTAACAGTAGAATATATCCATGATTTTAAATTACGAAGCGGGCGACATTAACGAATAATCCCTCCCAATAAAAATTTTCGATTTTCCCTCGTCACCGTAGAATTAATACAATCAGTAATCAAATAAATTTCGATTCAATTGAAGGAGATTAACTCGAGCTCGTAGTTGATTTCCCCGTAGATATCCAAAACACACATCGAGTTTCATTCAAAAAATTATAATTACACTTTATCTACATGAGAAATGTTCCCTGATCGAAGCAACTGGGATTAATGTAGCTGAGGAGATCATGCTCAGACATTGACGTGAGTTCCTGGGGGAGCATTCCCCCAGCGTCCTCAGGTTTTTTAACGACTCCAGGTACTTGTCCATTGGTGGTTGTCACCTGGACCTGCATCGGGGTCTCGCCATTTTGCATTGTTGGAGGTACTGGTATGGCCTCGGGTGATTTTCTTGCGACTTGCTCCACAATTCCTCCAGTTGCATTTGAGGGTGACTGAGGTAGAATGCCCTCCATTGCGCTGTTCATCAGCTGTGCACTCTGGGTTGCAACAGAGTTCATGATATTCTTGGTGGCAATAATAGCGTGGGCAGTTGTCGTTGTTATTGGTCGATTATTCATGATATCCTGAGGGAATAAATCGAAAATTCATCAGTAAATTCAGACAATTCGTTTAAATAAACATTCGAAATATTCCTCATACCTGTGTGGCGTTAGTAATGACATTACTGATCGCCTGCTCAGCAGCATTAGTCAGTCTCTGTTGATTGGGCTCCTGGGCAGCTCCACTGGCCAACGCAGAGCTAGCCTCAGCAACAAATCCAGCTGGTTGATTCAGCATGGAGCCAATATCATTCTGCACAGCCTGTTTCATCACCTGAGCAGCCTGTGCATGTCCAATCGCCTTCTGAACGACCTGCACCTGTTTAACGACCCCCTCAGTTGTCTCCTTAACCGCTCTCTTGACCACTGATGCTGTCGCCTGTTTCACAACCTCCTCAACATGAGGAACAGCCTGTACGTGTCTAGCAGCGTGCACCTGCTTCATTGCTTCTCTCACAACTTGTGTGCACTCCACCACTTGTCTTACCACCTGATTCTGCGCCTCGTGTACTGTATTCGCTGCTTGCTGTTGCACCTGAGCGACAACTTCCTCGACCTGTTTCTGCGCCTCGGCAAACACCTGCTCCACTTGCTGTTGAACGACAACTTCTTGAGGTGTCAGGGTTTGAATCTGAGGGAGAGGCTCACTGGTCACCTGGAGGGGATTGTGAGAGGCTATCGATACGGTGGCATTTGATATTCCAGCTGCTGTCACGATTGGTGTCTCCATTGCTGGATGAAGGGCGTTTATCGTGGTGAGAAGTGTCTCTTCGGGGCTGGGCTCAGGGGTAGGTGTCACTGGTGCAACTGACGAGGTCACCATTGGTGTTGGCATCAGTGCACCAAGCAACATAGTCTTCACAGGAATTGGTGGACTTGTTCGTGTGGTATCGACCTCTGGTATTAAACTCGTTGGAGGACTTGGAGTTGTTTGCATTGGTGTTTGATGTGAATCCACAACAGAGTTGACAAGTTCATCCAGCTTTGCCGTTTGATTAGCTAAAATTGTTGCAGCTTCTGATTGCTGTCGTGCGTTGGCTATTATTGTTGCACGTTGCTGCATCGTCTCGAATGTTGGCTCGGTGCACAGTTGAGTCATTGTTCCCAGCTCTTGCTCAGTTGCCTCGGGCTCTTTGCTCTGTGGCACTGATATCTCGATTTGATTCAGATACTTAGCGATTGATTGGCTGGATTGATTGGGCAGGGCCTGGTCAGCTGGTGTTGATGTGAATGTATTCAAGGTGTCGTACTCGTGTTGCTTCATTCTGAGGTCAACGACGCTTGTCCCTTGGGCGGTCGTCTCCTGGGGGTGAATGGGTGATGCCTCTTTGTTTATGTGGTGAGGACTGAGGACCTTCACCTGGGTTGCCTCGTGGATCGGGAAGGATTGTCCAGCTAGGGCCAGTGGATGCTGATGATGAATCAGGTCAACACCCAGGAGACCCACCTCTTGGGCTGAGTGCATCAGACCAGGTTGGGAAGCTTCTCTCGAATTCTCTGAGACTAGGGCGTGGAGGGGACTCGTGCTGGTGCCATTTGAAGGTGGTGTATTGTTTCCCTGGAGACTGTTATCAGATAGCATACTGCTCTCCGATGTATCGTCCAGAATTTCTGATTTCAAATTGTCGGGAAGGATTAGCTGGTGGTTTGAGGAGGATCTTCTAGATAGGAGAGGATTGGATACGAGATTGGGAGGAGGCATCATCACATCGTTGGAGTTGTTGGCTTGGGCTGCCCACATCATGATGGGAGTGACTGGTGTTGACGAACGCGGGGGGCTGGGATCATTCTTGAGGACGTCCTGGGACTGCTGAAGGGGCGACTGCTGTTGATTATTTATCTGTGGTGAGAGAAAAGTCGTGGGAATTCCAGCGACTGGTGATATTGCTGTGCTGGGGGCTATCGGGGATATTGGCACTGACGGAGATGTTGAATCAGGGGAGGTGACCAGGCTCGTTGAGGATGCCTCGATCTTACCGATCGTCGGCTCGGGGGGTGAGGTGATTGAGGTGTAGAAGAAGGTGTGGGGCTCGCTGGTCTTTCCTGAAGAGACTGCGTACAATTTGACGCATACTCTTTCGGATGGGTTGAGATCTTGTCGTCTGTATGGGGGTACCACGCAGATCAAATGAGTTTGCTGGAGGAATTCCTTGTCTGGTGTGACTGAGCATTCCCAGTGAGGCTCCAGGGAGGACGTGATATCCTCGTTATCCAGCTGGAAGACCATTCGAGTGTCTTTCAGGAAGTTCTTTCCCAGGATAAAGAGCTCGAGGCCTCCTGTACACGGGCAGGCAGTCAGGGATTTTTTCGATATCTCGGGAATACCAGGGGGTTGAGTGCAAACAATTGGCTGTGAACATACTTGAAGTGTCTCGGTAGTTCCATCGGTGTGGGTTATCGTTGTACGAAATACCATTCGACATTTTGTCGATTTTTTTTTACTTCTACCCTGAAGCATACCCGCCTCCTGGGGAAATCTGTGCTCCACATCGACATTTCGCTCCTTCAATATTCCCACGCAATCGCAAGTCACTAGCATGTCCTTGGCAGGATCCATATCCACTTCGATAACAATTGTTCCATCGATTTTACGTTCAACACAGGGGGTGGAGTTTTTTCCACTGACTCGACAGGCTTGATAGAACATGTGGGGTGCAACACGTCCCAGATCTGTGCCAATGAATACCTGGAGGGTGGCTGGTTTGTCGTAACCAACTAGACGAACTATTGGAAAACCATTACCCGTTCTATCTTTTACAGCACCCCGTGAACCCTCCGTTTGGTAACGCGCTCTGTGCTGCTGCTCAGGCTGGCAGATTATCTGCAGCTGTACCTTTCCATCTCTCGATACACTACCTAAAGGGTGTACATAATTAACATTAGCATAATTCAATAATATTGAAGAAGGGGAATTGATCTTTGAGACGTGTCATTCAATGTCTGAGAATTTCAACTCGATTTGCTAATAGGAAAATTTCTTGTTCTCATGGACTCTCTCGAATCCGGTGAAGGCAAGAAATTCTTCGTGAATTAAATAGACTAATAGATACTTCAGGATAGATGCCGAGGATATCCAAGGAGAGTGCAATGAACTTGTCCGGGTGTTGGGAAAAACTCCTGGAGGTTTGGATATCCTCGACGGATTTAAGAAATTCTTTTTTCTTTTTTATAATTCCGATATTCTGGTCAATGAATTTACGATTTGAACAGTCAATCGCGGACACGTACAGAGTTGAGAGTTAAGGGTGACGGGACCTTGATGGGCCGGTGGTGGCCGCTTCCCGTAGGATCCAATTGTTGAACGTGCCCTCATGACACCTCCAACACGTCCAATACCATTACTCGTTCTTGTAGCGCTTACAGGTGCAACAATGCCATTGGTATTGTTGTTTCTTGTGATTTTTCCATGATTTTCACCTGTTCTCTCGGGAAATGCAAAATTGGCGTCCTCAGACTCGAGTTTAATATCCATTTTACGTCTCTTTGTGTCCTCCTCACCAGCCGTACCGTTGTTCCAAGCCTGTACCAACAATTGATGGTATTGAGTCCGGGGGATTTGGCCGTTGGGATCAATTTAATGAATCAAGGAGAGACAAGTGTTATATCGTTTTATTTTATCGTGGGGGGATGGGTTCAAGTGTCTTTTTAGTGGCATTTGTCTTTGTTAGACGTTGGTCGACTGCAGGATTATTTATTATTTTCAATTTCACTTGGAGTGCTGATAGCTCTCGAGAAGTCGATATTTATTGATCAGTACCGAAGTGGTAAATTGTAAAATCTAGATTAATTGACAATTAACGAATAATTTGACTCGGATTGAATTTTAATAGATAAATTGTAGGATAAATTCAACGCAAAAAGTGTGCGACAGTGAATAGACTCGAGTGATAAATAAATAAATAATCAAGGATAGATAACAATTTTATCGTAATTCACAAGAGGTAAATGTGAATAAAATTGATGCAACAGCTTGATTTACCGAGGGATTTGTGATGTGCTGCTGCCTATCCTCGAATCCGAGACCAGAGTCATTAGAATTGTCGCAAACTTCCTGAGTTGAATTTGGTCCGTGTTCGTCAGTGTTTCTAACCGTAACACCAGCTATTGATGCCAGTGGTATACGAGCTGGTGATGTGTGCTGTCGTTGACTCGTTTGTGATATACTCGACTGCTGTTGTATCACCGATTGTTGGGATTGTTGGCTCGATCTTGCCTGGGTAAATCTTCTTGGCGTTGTTTGACGTGTATTCGCTGCTAAAGACGCTCTTTGAGCTGAATTTGCTGCACTACCACCACCTGTATTACCTGCAATATCAAGAAAAAATAAATTTATATCGTGTGATTAGGTATTGGCGAATGCTCCGATTGATTTATTCATTCACTTCGATATTTCGATACTAGTTCAATATCTTTATTTTGAATATTTATCTGGTATCAATTTTCTCTTGTTGACGCTCATGAGGTCAAGGCCGTTAGACTCGGTGACTTTCATTGCATCAAAAGAATAAATATTTAATTCAGATATTTTTACAGCTGATCGGTTACGTCAGCGGGGATAACGTTAGAATTACGAATAACTGTGAATATGCGAAATGTGAATAACGCACTGACATAAAAAAATCCAGGGCAAAGTCTAGTTTTTATCCGTTTGATGTTTGAAAATAAAATTCGGGATAATGCACGTGAAATAACAATGCTCCACTGGTTCTTCAACTTCATCAGCTTCTCTCATTTGCATTCGCACTGGGTAGACCAACGAGTTTGCCTTTTTACGGTTTTATTTTTTTTTATATCTCTCTCGATTTTCGAGATTTCGTTCTCATTTTCTCGTTTCCATCGCCATAAACAACAAATCAGAAGTTGAAATGTCTTTTTGTCAAATAAAAATATCCAGTTGCATCTTTATTCCACCGAAAAAACAAAATATGAAAACCATGACCAACCGTATTATTTACCTCTTCACATATATACAAATGCGTGACGCACGGGCAGACGCGTTCGCAATATGCAAATGCAGAATAAATAAAATTTAGGAGAGGGTAGAATAATGAAAGAAATTGGTGAATAAATAATAACGGAAAAATATGTCCGGATAAAGTTGAGTTAAATTGTCTTGAAGACATGGGTTGTCTGCATTGAACCCGATATTTTCCGATCGTTGCACGCAAATTGACTGGACAAGGGGTTGGAGAGGGGAGGGATAGGGAGGGATAAAAAAAAGTGAGTGGCAAACATTGGAAAAAAAAGATGAGGAAAGGAGAGGAGGAATTAAGAGGGCAAATGAGCGCGTGGGCACGATGGTCTATCTATAGAAACACTACTACTACTAGTCAAGGATAATTGTGAAAGGGGGAGAGTGGGGGGTGGGTAGGGGGATTGGAAGGGGGAGGGCTTGGGATGACACCCATATCTCAATCCTCCCCTGTTTGCACATTCGAACGCAATGAGAGTATGAAAACGTCGAGGAAAATCACTGGAATTGATGTCGATGAACTCTCGAGTTCTCCACCAAGTGAATAAATACGCGAATGGGTAATTTTTGCTAAACTATATTTAACACTTTTTTTGGGGGGTTATTGATTTAATTGCATCGGGTGGTAGTGGAAGGGAGAGAAAAATCACGTGAATCAAATACTTTTTGAATTTGAAAATTTTGGCGCGCGATCGAGCGGAGAATTCGCGGTTTTTTTAAAAAGCATTTTCAATATCGATTGATGGCCGTGGTTATTGATTTGAGAGAAAATATTTGGGCGTATTTCTGATTGAGAATTTGAGAGGTTGAAAAAAATTTTTGGAGTGTTCTTCTCGAAAATCGATATTACTGATAACAAATTCAAATTGATTTTGAATTTTAAGTGTTTTAATGGTTTTTTCAGCTGGTGAAAATGATAATTCTATTTCCATTTGATCTCGTGATGTTACAAGTGTTAATTGCTTTCTGACAATTAAACCGAAAATGTGACTGATCGATAACGATCGGATAAGATTGTTGTTTTCAATCGGCAACTTTCATTTCTAGTCTTTCAAAATGATTTTCATTGGCAGAAATATCGGTCTGTAGATTGTCTCAGCCAAGTCTTGAGCACTTGGAGTGGCACCTCGATAACAGGATCGATAAACATCGTTACTATTACCATCAGGCAAATAGCCCCTGTTCGCTAACTGTGACACTCCCGATGTCTCAAGGATAAGTATACAGTGGGTTTAGATCGGATTACTCCTTCAGACACGTGTTCAGAGGATAGATATTGCTAAACTCATGATAATTCCCGAAAAATCCCACGATTTTTCATCATCGACAATTTTTTCTTCACGAGTTTTCTCACTGTTGATCGGATTGTTAATCGAGTAAAATAGATTTCTTGCGGTTTGGGTGGAAGAGGGGAGATCATTTTCAAATGTGGAAACAGTTCAATAGTCGTCAGACCCAGCTGTATCTCACTCTCTTTAGTTGACTCTTTGACAACTTGGCTGATAGCCTACTTAAACTCCAGATAGCGCAGTATTTTCATTTTCAAAGCGGAATAAAGCGAGATTTTGTAGCTTCCATTGAACAATTAATTCAGCTATTTATAATAATGACAATTCACAAAATTACAAATACAAATTACCCCAACCAATTTTCAATTATTTCCACTGAATTCAATTTTCCATGACTTATTCGGTTTCCAATTCAAGAATTAAAATTACTCATTACGAATTCAGATTTAAATCGAATCAGTGGAATTACTGATTCATGATTAATCATATTGTTCACTCAGGATGAAATATGAATTAATTATTAATTATTAACCAGTGATGAGAATGATATTAAGAAAATTCATTGTTGAGATATTCCCCAATACTATTCGTATTTTCGCATTTTCTGCTGTTGGAGAAGGTTCTGGAGCGAATAATAATACCGCAAAAAGCCGGTTTTTTTTTTCTTTTAGTTTTTTTTTTTTGCTTGACGCGTCCAGCGATGGATCGATACAATCGGACATCAAGGCGAGTTATCGAGTGACGGGGGAACCCATTGGAATAACCTTTAGGCAACATTATTCATGGTGAAATTTATTTATACGTGTCAGAGTTCAAAGAACAAGTAAAGCGCATATTTTAGCGATAAATCGCACTCCCAAATCGATCTCCTAGGATTTTTTTATTTTTATTGATAATATTTTGGGTCTTGAATTATGAAAATATGAAAATATGCAAATATGCAATTATGCAATTATGCAAATATGCAAATAGCAAGAATTAATTGACAATTGGACAATTTCATTATCGCTGCTGATCTGGAAATAGAAAAATTCGATAGTCATGCAATTTGATCGTTAGCGTCACGAAGAATTAACAAAAAGTACTCTCAACACTTGAAAGTCTTTGATTGATGCTCTCGATGTTTATTTCAATTTAATTTTAACGTCGCATTTGAGTGGTTGCTCGGGGCGAGAGAGCTATTCCAATCAATTAAGTCGAACGAGAAATAAATTCCATCGCCAGTCTGTGGTATCGACGTGCGATTGTCCGGAGTTCCACTTACGCATGAATAATTCTTTTTTTCTTTTTCCTCATTTTTTGTTTTTCTTCTCTCTTTTGGAAGTCGCAGTGAGAACGTCAGTTCTGACTCAGAGAGAATCACTTCAGTTTTCTGAATATTTTGTCGATTTCTTTCTCGTCTTGGGACAAACATCATTTTTTTTACTCGTCTTTCTTCTCTCCCTCTCTCCATCTCTCCCTCTCTCCCTCTCCCCCCTTAATCAGATATAGAAATGGCTGGTTTTGATAATCTTCTGGGAATTTTTAAATTAAAAGATTGTGTTATGTTACCACGACGTTAGTCTCATGCCCAACAACAATTATCACTCGAGAATTATCAATGATTTCTGGAGTGCACTCGACTCTTTTTTATTGATCTCTCCCTCTCCCCCTGCTGTTATTTTTTTTTTCAATCTGCAAATGTTTATCTGTCTTGTTTACCGAGTGATTATGCATCTCGAGTGGTAATATGACTGGTGATTTTTATTTTTTCTCTGGTACACGAATTTGGATTAATTATTCAATTTAATTGTGGAGTGACGGACGGGTGCATCGGCCTTGTATTTAGTATTATTCAAAAATTGCGAGACTCAGGGACATTGAGGTGGTCAATGATGATTTTTATTTGGACTCTCAGAGCACAACCACCTGTCGGCCCTGGAAATCCAGTTTTAGCGTTTTTAAAATTGCGAGATGATTGGATTATCTCGGTATGAGAGATCTTTGGGGGAGAAGTCTTTCGACATTGTCCTCTGAAATAATCCCAGATAAATCCGGATTCAACGATAATAATTCACCAATTAAATGTGACAAGTCAAGTGTTTTTTATCACTCATTAGTTTTACCAGAAATAATTAGTTGATTAACGAATTAATTACGCGTCATTGGTCATTTTGGAGGGCATTAGGTAATTTGAGTAATGATTAATCGAATAATTGCTGACGTGAAAAAAAAAAAAATTGATTGAGAGGCGAGTAAAAATTTATCCGCTCGCGGAATTATTGCTTGTTGCGTAGATTTATTTTAATCAATTATTTTCAACGTGAAAAATGAACGGATATATCTGGGAGAAAGCTCTCCATCAGTGCCTCTCTCTCATGCGTAATTTAACCAAGACTGGAATTTAAAATTCATACGGTAGATCAATTTCCCATCGATATCTGTCGCGGGTGAAATTTCGCTCCTTTCCCCCAGTATTTTTTATCATTACTCCGATGCATTCGCGTTTTACGTAACTCGAGTTTAATAACAAGAGTTTCAGTTTTCATTTGAAATGATGAATAAAAAAGAAAAGAGAGAATGAAGAAAAAAAAATCAGGGATTCCACGGGACAAAAAGATGAGTAGAATTGTGTGTCAACTAATGAGTCGACAGGAGTGAAGGATACGATGAAAATGTCTGTAAAAAAAAAAACAACCGTGAATCCACCTGTGTTACACAAATGCAATTAGATCCGTAATTCCTCGTTATTTTCCCGTTTTTTTTTTCTTGTTATCACCGCGTCTTCTTTACGAGATGAAATACTACGGACGTGACTGAGAAGTTTAAACAAGAATTGAATTTCAATGATTTCGTTGTTTCCAGAATTTCAGAGAGAATATCGAATCTAATTTTTTTTTAATGCAAAAACATTTTGAAAATTATGAAGTCATTGAATTTGATTTCTGCTAATGCTGAATTGTTTGTCGTTGAATGAAAATTTAATGGGGGCAGACGGGGAAGGGGTGAACTGGTGAATGACCCCAAGATTAACTGGAGTCATTGATGAACTGACAATTGGTGAATAATGATTTTGCCAGTTTCATTGGAGACTGTTTTACACCCTTGAAGATTGCGTTCTCTCATCTCCTGGCCTTTTAGGGCACGGACTTTCGAGATATTTGCAATCGGAAATTTTCTCGGGCTTTCCAATGACACTGGACACCCTCCAACCTGTTCTCCAACTCAGACAGACCCAATCCGGTAGTGGAGATAAATTAAAAGTGTAATGATTTTTATTTAAATGATAAAAAAAACCCACAGCTTCCCTAGAATAATCCAAATAACCAGCTCTACCACATAATATTAAACCCGCCCCCTTCCGATCTTCACAGCTGTTACAACCCGGGGCAAAATGGAGACTCCAATAAAATTCTTTCAAATAAATAAAAAATTCAGACGATTTAAAAATCGCAATATCTCTGGATCTAAAAGAAATATCGAAATTGTATAGAATACCTTTTCTCTAGCTCTCAGTCCGCTCTATTTAAATGGTCTTTACGAAAATTTCGATTTTTCTCGCGGATTTAGAGATATCACTGATTATTGGCTGATTATTGGCTTCACGTGTGACGTGGAATTTTCGATATCGATTTTTATTGAATAACTTGGATAATTTACCATGACGATAGTAATCCGTCAATGGATTAATGGGGCATCTCATCAAGAGCATCCCCTTGTCGACATCGGCACCGATGTGTCCCAAGTGTCCAAGCCTCCTTGCCTCTCTCTTCTTGTCAAAATCAGGTGCCATTAAACCCTCAGCCCACACACCCAATCAGCCAATAAACAATAAATAGTCCACAAAATGCACAGATCACCGCAAATCGATAAAAAAAAAATGGCGTTTGTCCCACAGTAAAATCACTGAAACCACAGCAGTCTAGTATCAGAGCTCGAAAACGCCCCGGAGTGATTAATTACGCGAATAGACAATAAAAATTATTAAAAAGGAGAGGGGAGAAAAATTAAATGCGAAATCGGGTCCGACGACGTTTCAAAGTATTCCTCTGCACACAAATGACAAAACGACGATTAATCCCTCCACACATTCCCGCCATTACACTTTTGAAATCATCTCACTATCAAATCCACAACAAATTCACGAATGCGAAAATTAAATGAATTCGCAACAGCAATAATCGAGTTAACCCGAGTGTCACAGCTTAACTGGTAGTCACTGGATTTCAATTTTTGTTTTTTGTTTAAATCGAAAGTATTGGTGGATTGTTTTTTCCCCCTTTGGGTGAAGTGGGAAAAAAATAAATAACGGGGAGACGCACGACGGAGACGACGAGAACGTTTGGGTGTTACGACGCAAACTGTTGGACGTCGTCGATCCGCATCGTTTGCTGGCACAGTGAATAGCGAGTAAATAAGCCCCCACCACTCGACAAATTTTACCATCCAATGTTGCTCACATCAAATGCCATCGGTTATCTCTCTCTTTGACTGACATGCAATCACCCCGGCTCCACCTCTTCGTGTCTACTCCATCGTCATCAGGAGGTCCGGGGGTATCATCCCTTCTCCATAACTCTTGCATTTGTGTAAATTTATGTCATGGGGGTATTTAAAAAAAAAAACCAGAAATACCGTTGCATTCTTCAAAAATTCTCATTTTTTCCAATAAAAAAAAATTGTAATTTTTAATTATTCTTGATAAATCAATTTATTTCTGGGGTATTCTGGTGATTCTCATTTTTAATCTCTTGATTATTCAAGGTTTTAGGGGAAAAGTCAATTTTTTAGTTAATAATAATGATAATTTTTAAAAAGTAAATTTGGAAAAATATTGACTGCAGGTGAAATAGTTGAGCATTTGTTTCTCAGTTAATCGGGACAATTGAACAAATGGGGGAATAAATAATAACCCCCCACCTTCGTGGATGATTATTTCGTATTTATCCACTGCAGATATCATGTGTCACCGAAGATTCGTTAATCTTCCCATTATCCGATCGAATGATTCCAGATAATGATACAATGACCCTAATTTAATTCCCCATCCCGACAAATGGGCAATAGTAACAAAAAAAAAGTTTTACAATTTCACCGTTATTTTTTAATTTGAATTAAAATCACGGGTAACGACAATCTCGAGATTCTTCCTATCAGCGACCTTCGAGGAGACGAGATAAAAGACAAGAGGGGAAGAGACGGGAAAATATTGTTGGAGGGGGAGAGAGATAACGGAATGCGTTTTGATAACAGGGTAAATCGTGGCACTCATTACCAACGTACAGAAACAAATTGTCAATCCTCACTGAATTTATTTTAACTATCGCATTCTGGTTTGTATACCTTTTGGATGAGAGAATGTCATTGGATGATGTCGTTTTTTTGACTCTAGTCGTTATGCAAGTGTCACCTCCAGTCGAGGTATTTTTTTTATTATTTTAATCACGAGTAAATTCAGCTGACGCCAGACTATTGGCAGAGGAAAAACAATCAGGGACGACTGAAAATCATCGATTCTCTCATTTTTTAACAGCTAAAATATTATGGACTGCGCTACCTAATTTACGGGTAATTAATACCTTCCGTCATGACGTCACAAAATTGAAGCTTGTATTTGGATTGGTCAGTGGGTGGGGCCAGCCCGTCCCATCGGCTGCGCGCGCAGGGAATAGGTTAGGGTCTGCTAGATGCCCTTCAGCTCTTCGTCATTAATGATTTTATTGTTGAGGATTATTAAACAAATGGTTTAGAATAGAAATTTTGTGCTGTCGGAAGTGCACGGGGAATATACGATCACTTATCAGATCATTAGGCGTATTCGAGGCGCTTAAAATTGTATCTCGAAATTATTTTTAGACCAATCACAATAACTCTTGATTTCCCAGTGTGGTCTCAGGGTCATCCTCATGTTTACAAATATAACCATCCAATTAAAGATTTGGATAATTAAATAGAGACGGTAATAATGAACTCTCGTGACAATGCGGATTTTTTTTTTTTTGGTTCTGGTCTCGTATCGTTTCTTTTTTTTTTTCAATTCTATTTTCGTTTATAAAACTTGAGAAATGTCGTGCGAGGTTTCAATTAAAAACTTGGTAGAGATTAGATTACGATTCTTGGAATAATGAGGAAAACGAAATTCAATTTATTTGCGAAATTCTCTTAAAAATATCGGGGGAATGAATTTTGCTGGTGATTTTTAATGAAAAATATACGGATAAATTGAGATATTTTGAGATTGCGCTGGGGTTTGATGATAGATTGACTCGTGTCAATTAGTTTTCACAAACACCCGCAAGACAATGGATCATCTTTATTCCCCTTTTAACAATCGCTATTATATTTACACCACAAAAGGTTAAATCCTCATGCAACCTCCCCTTTCTCCCAACCCAGTCATTAATTAATTCGTAGATAATGATACATGAATCACAAGTACACTTAAGTCAACTCTTCGTATTTGTTATCGAAGGGGAAACCGAGTCTTCCAATTCGTCTGATAATATATTTGAAAAAATTATGATTCTCTGGGATATTGAAATAATATCGAGTGACAATTCCATGGGTTTTTAATTATCAATTATCCCAGCATTCTCAGGACGTAACAATAAATTATGTAAATAATTGTTTACCGTCCGGCAAATGTTGATGCACTCTGGGGAAAATTTTCTATCTATGTTTTTTATTTTTAAACGTGGCGTGTGTTGAAAAAAAAATTGTCATTCACGCGAGAAGGAAATTAGATTGGCATCAACATCGATCCGGACATTGTCATTCATTGAAATCGTTGGGTGAGATAATATCGGGGTTAAGAAAATTAATGCATCCTAATGAACATCATTAGAAGTGTCTTAATGCATCCTAATGAACATCATTACAAGTGTCTTCAAATGATTGAAGATGATCTCATTTTCAGCGATGATCATTGATTAAAAAATCGAATTAAAAAAGAAAATCATTTCTCATTTCCAAAAATCGCCGATTAAAAAATCAGGGAAAAGTATCAATTCATCAATAATTTTTTTTATTGAAAAATTCCAGACAATTTTTTTTTTAATCGCTTTTTCTCCTCGAAATCTATTTTTCCGTCATTCGTTCACGATTTAATGCAAAAAATCGTTATTATGCCTGAAGTTAAAAAATGACAACGAATACCGGATAAATTTTATAATCCGAGTCATGATGTTGATCATGAATTGATATTTAAATTGTGAAGGAACGACAGAGTGGATTTAGAGGATTTGAAGGACTTGGAGGACTTGGAGGACTCGAATGAGAGTCGAGGCTGAAAATTACTCGGTCGGATACAAAGACGATTTCAAGCTGGCGATCGCCGACCTCTCGACCTCGACGATATTCTAATCAAACCGATTCCGCGCCGGATGCGCCGTCAAAATTACTAATAACTAACCACAAACTATCCATTGTACCGATTTATGCTACTCCAGCTTTTCCACATTTCAATAATTAAAATGCTCATTTATCCATGACTCCCCTTAAATAATCGGGAGATAATTACCACTTGTTCTGGTGTATTCACATCTTGTACTCGTGATTCACCATTGATACCACGATTTAGTGGTATTACGAAATGGTGTAGTTCAAAGTTCAGAGAAAATCGAGTAAACGGTTGCGATGAAAAATTTATTGTCTGAATAATCACCTAAACGTACATTGAACTCGACCTTGAGAATACAGTCAAGTACCATTTAACGATCTCCACCATTTTATCCATTGAATTCCAACCGATCATTCATTTTTCTTCAATCATTCAGATTACCTAGCACCACCGATTTTTCTAAACATCCCCCAGGAAATAAATACTAAAATCAAATTCAGTCCAGCAATTAATTATTTTAATGCACAAATAATCAACGACTCAGAGAATCCGTGTGATTTCTAATAATGACTGTTATTTCCCTCGAACACACTCTCCCTTCCTGTCCCCATTTGCTGTAATTATTCAGTTCCACATTCGATCACACCAAAAAATCGAACTGTGTATTTTTTTTTTGCGAGACAAATTGGGTCAGTCGAGTATGAAACGAGTTGTGAAGGCCGATCCGTCGATTTTTATTAATTTTTCAAAGTCGGAAGATGCAATTCGGTTGAATTTAAAATTTTTTAATAGTTCTGGGGGAGATGGGAGTATCCGAGATTTACAACGAGCATCATTAGATAATCGTGTGTATGTGAGTGAGATCAATTAGCGTACAGGTAACACAGAGTAATTCCTACGGTCAATAATGACGTCAATACGAAAAGGCTGTGCATTGCAACGACCGTGAAACATTCTCAGGATACTGTAGTGAATATCAATGCGAGTCGATGAGACTCTGAAGAATTTATTTATTTATCCCAGGCGTTTAAATATCTATTGCTACCAATAACTATCGATTTTATTATCAATCCCGTGGTATTTTTCACTCGCAATTTCATCAACTACTAAAAAATCTAATTAAATCTAAATTAATTCCAAAAAATCGGTAATTTTTCAGATAAATCGGTAATTAAAAAAAAAAAAGGATTCAATTCGGAGATTTAGGAGATATTGAATGAAAAAAACGTTGGATTTTTCGGGTAATTAGTTTATTTAAAAGATTTTTTTTTTAAGTCTCAGGGAAATTGAAAGCCGATCGATTCCTCCATTTTGTCGTGTGTTTCCACCATTTCGTAAAAATAATTTCTTCCGTCCATAAAAATGAATTTCACCTGTTAAAACAGGTATAAAACCTGCAGTCCAATGATTTATGGAGCAGTGGAATTGTCATGTAAATTTTGTTTTCCACATTTGAGAATATGTTCCAATGACGTTCGTGAGCTTCTTCTTTTTTAATTCAGGTTTTGTGGTTAAATAAACAAGAGGGATGGCGGAAAAATGATAAAAAAAATGAGTCAATGGAGTCGTTGATTCGCTGGTTGACCTTGCCCTTCGATCGATGGCCACACCTGACCACAAAACACTGGCATATCATAATTGCAGGAAATCAAATGCTTGGATTTTCCCGGGACTGTGTCCTAGTACTTTTACCAGGAGATGAATTACAACTGAGTTATACTGAGTTATTACCGAGTCTGTGACGAGCGATGATGTGGCATTTTTCACGAGACATTCATCCCCATCGAGAGGATATTCCTCATATCCAATTGTCACAACTAATTCCCCCCATTTCCTCTTTATCGTATTTGAACTTGATGTCAACGTGAAAGTGAATATTAGTCGTAATGATTATTCGGTTTATCAATCCGTATCTTATCGATTCCCCTAAAATCTTTTTTGGAATCCCTCAATTATCGGAATTATCGAAATTATCAAGAATATCAATGCGTCTAGCCATCGGTTATTC